AGAGCGGGCAGAGGGGCAGGATCCCCTCCCTGCCCTGCTGCCCACGCTGCTGGGGGCAGCCCAGGCTGCCGGGGCTCCTGGCCAGCTCCTCACCCCCAGCACCCCCAGGGCCTTCTCCACGGGGCTGCTCTCCGTGGTCAAATGCCAAGTGTCTCTTTACTGCTGGCGTGGGTGAAGGTAGTCACAGGTGCCAGGCTGGAGTTCCAGCCTCGGTGCCTTTATCCCACTTTTGGGGAGGGGAGGCACCACCCCTCGACACCGCACTCCCTGGGGCTCGGAGGTCGGGGTTCAAGAGAGTTCCCAGCCTGTGCACACTTCAGTTCTTCTCATCCACCCTTTGCAAAGAGAGAACTTGCTGCCCCTTGATCTGATTCATGGAGCAAAGCCCCGATGAGCTGCAGAACTTTGCTGAGGTCCTTAACGTGGCCCGTTTTTGATGAGCAGAGAGGGAGAGCACGTGTCTCCCCCGGCACACGCCGGCGCTGTCAGATGAGCTGTCACTCACGGGAAATTGTGCAGATCTTCATAACATCATCTTCCTTCAACAGTCTTATGTGCTTTGATGTGTGGTGAAATAATTAATACTTTAAATGTCAGCACTGTTGTCTGTGGGTACCTGAGCTGGTCCCCATTGGGGTGGATGGGACCGAGCTGTTGTTTCAGGTTCTGTGAACGCAGACAGATGTCGCAGCATCGGCTCCTCAAGTGTGAGTGTTCCTTCCTCCTATTCCAGTGAGCCATAATAGCTGGAGACTTGTGTTTAAAATGAAAGGATGGATTTTGAAGGGTAAGGAACAATATAAAAGAGGAAGCACTGTGCTCTACTCTCTTTGAGCTTTGTCATAAATAAAGTCAGGCAGACTGGGGGGACTTCAGACCTCTCCCTGCTGCTGACTGGAACAATTGTGCTGCTAAAGCTGTCAGCCTGGAGTGAGGTTTACAGACTGACCAACAATTTCATTTATTCACTAGGTGGTTGCTCTTTTTTTTGCATACATTACATCATGTCATGCACAGTTTTTTAGACTATGCTCTGGGAAATTCGAGAGACCCCTTGTGCCTGAAACACTGGATTTGAGCATCACCAAAGGGATTTTGCTGTACCTGAATCAGTTTTCTTGGGGGGTTTAATTTCAGAGATCTGATTTGTAGGAAATAATGAGCTGCCTGCTTCTGTGTCAGGCCCCTTTATGGTCTCTCAATCCATGAACCCCAAAGCATTTGGATATGATTTTGGCATAGCTCTGTGTAACACTGATAAACCACTGCTGATCTGGTAGCTCTTTTCTCAGTGGAGGTGGCTTTGTAGTGAAACTCTTTAAACTTGCTGGTGGATTCTTCACCCTGCCCTTCACTTGAAAAGGTCCCATTTACTTCTCCAAACGTTGGATGTTGTTTTTCAACAGGATTTCACGACAGAGATAAAAGATTTCTGCTTCATTAATGAGTAAAAGCAGTAGTAGGAAATTTTGTTGCAAGCTGTACAGAAAACCTTGTGCTGCAAGACTTAATACATACATCGATTCAAAATGGCTGAGGAGTCCCTAGAACAATTCAACACTGTTGAGAAATTATTTGCTGCTATTTATCTGTCAAAATAAAAATGTCCAAGTCAATCTATTGGAAAAATGTTTGTTGAATAATAGCCAGTTTCTTCTTCCTGAATTAGCTTTTTGTATATTCCCATTGGCTATTTTTAGTGAAGTATGTATACATGTATGTTTGAATTCCTATATATTTTACATTGCTCTTGCTTAGCTTTAGATATATATATCTTAACTGATTAGACTTGTAATCAAGAAGAGAAATGGCACATAATGATGTATAGGCTCTTGAGAGAATTGGACTCTAATTCTCAGGATTATTGGCAAAAAAACCCCACCCCACACTCCCCCCCCCAAAAAAAAACCCTCTTCCCCAATGGGATGTGGATTCTGTGGCAGTTGAAATGTGTATTATTAAACTCCTTAAGCAAACCAGAATGGCTCCCAGTGGAGAGCAAAGACATTCTAAGTATAGCCAAGACTAAATTCTCAGGTCTGGGGTTTCTCTACTCAATTCCCACTTGATTATCTCCTGTAGTATTTAAACTTCATGCCACGCCATAATTATTTAATAAAAAGTAAATATAAAATGTACCTCAGTGGGGAATATGACCTTTTACCTTCGTGTTGTCATACCCAAGACAGACACAGATGAACAGAGAATCGGGATCACTGGGATGGTCTCTCTCACGTGACAGTTTTGTTCTTCTGGTGTCTGAGACAGTCACCCTGGGAGGTGCTGAGTGGATTTGGGAAGATTCAATAAGTGCCACCAGCACCTCTTGCAATCAGGTGTTTGCAGCTGTGCTGATGTCACCAGGTATTTAAAAAAAAAAGAAATGAATTGTTTTTCAAAAGAACCACAAATGGTGCAATAGGATAGAAGGAGTTGGGATGGAATGAGGACAGTGCCAGAGGACCTACCTGTGTTCTTACCAAGAGCCCCAGCATGAATGTGTCGTTGGAATTACAATGCATGTGCTAAAGGATAAGAAAATTCTAAAAAAGCCATACCTGTATCAGTAAACACTAACAATCCTGATGGGTTAGAGGCAGTCACAGCCTATGAGCAAGCAGAATGCTGCAGAACTGACAGCTGGGGTCAGTATTAATTTGAATTGGAGTTTAATTTTGAATACTCAGAAATTAGATAATTATTGCCATGATTTCATAGTAGAGAGTATTAAAGTTTTATGAAATCAATAGGGCTCTACCACCTATTAGTAACTGAAGATCTGGGTCAAAATATCTTGGTTTATCCACTGGAGATGAGGAGGATTGCAGGGCAGTGGCTGTGTGTGCACAGCAGCCACACGTTGCTGAAGGAGTTGATGTGACTCATGAAGAGCTGTGCCCTGGTTTGTGAGGACAGAATGCTGGGGGTGTGTAAGGTGTGAGATGAGCAGGCAGGGTGCTCTCAGTCCTGACTGTAACGAACTGAGCAGACCTGTTCTACCCTGCATGTGTGCCATAACTTGCTGTATTGCTGCTATGGTCAGTTTTGTCCAGGGTAAATAAACTGATCCCTAAAGGAGAATTTGGTGACTGTAATTCTCAGCTCTACCCTTCAAATTAGTCACCGAGCCTCTGATAGATGGTGAGAAGTCAGCATCAGAACCTGGAGCAGTTTTGAATGCAGCAGTCCTGATTTCTTTGGTCTCTTACCAGTAAGCCAAACTAAGCAGTGGGGCCCTTTGGAACAGTTGCAGTAAGAAGTTTTGTTAATAGCATGCAGCAGTTACAGAAATAGTATCAGTTGCTTCAACATTTCTGGATCCAAGTGCTTTTTGTGGAATACTGGCAGAAAAAGAGAGTGTCCATTCAGTTCAGCATGAGCAGGCAGAGGGGTGGGTGTGTGTGTAACACACATAAATGCAGAGTCCTCTCAGGGCTTAGCTGTGGGCAGAAAGGGATCACTAGTTCTTTAACCAGGTGTTTAAGAGAGGTTTTCTGTGGAGAAGCTGTGAAATCCATCTTTCTCAGGTAATGCAACTCGAGAGTCATACTAAGATAGCAAGCCAGATATATAACGTGATTCTTTTTCCTCTTTTCCTTTCAGCTTTAAATGAACCAACCATAGATTACGGTTTCCAAAGACTGCAGAAGGTCATCCCAAGACATCCTGGTGACCCTGAAAGGCTAGCTAAGGTAAAATATTTTTTAAACATTTCACTGAACCCACAGCTAGCAGCGAGTTTTTTTCTGTTAGCACTCAAACACTCTGTGAACTTATTTTGCTGCTAAAATGCAGGAAAATGCAGACATCTTCCCAGTTCATATTCATGGTCCTTTGCATTTATCCATATAGACAGATCTCTGAATGTCAGTGATCCACAATAGACACAAAGGATTTGTTGCAGAGATCTAACCCTAAAGGAATAATTAAAAAAAAAACAAGCAAAAAACCAAACCTCAAACACTTAAAGCTTAACTTCTCCTGTAGGTAACACTGCATGCTGTGGTGCTGTGGCACCTTGCACGAGGAGAGTGGCATCAATGACTAGATTCTAGACTTTAGTGCAGTACCAAAAGTGTCTGTTGTCCTATTGAATCAGATGTTTATGTGTCTATGAAACAGAATAGATGCCAATTCAGTGGGGAATGGAGATCCTTTATAAATTGGGTGTCTGAGAAGTGGATCCATGGCTGGAGCTGCTGTCCCCATGGCAGGATCAGGTGTCCCTGTGGCCGGGGCTGGTGTCCCTGTGGCTGGAGCTGTGTCCCCATGGCAGAATCTGGTGTCCCCATGGCCGGAGCTGCTGTCCCCATTGCAGGAGCTGTTGTCCCTGTGGCAGGATCTACTGTCCCCATTGCAGGAGCTGTATCCCCGTGGCTGGACCTGCTGTCCCCACGGCAGGA